CACACACACACCAACAGACAAACTTAGCGGATTATATATAGTAGGAAACTATCATGACACTCCGCCACAGCCTTCTGGACGAGCGCCATCGAGAGATTCTGGCACGCGACCGCCTGAGATCAGCGAGATAGTCGATTTCTCCGCCACCGTAGACCACCCTATTGAACTCCGCCCGAACCGGGTAATTGAGGGATTCAGGTCAGGTGACCTACTTGGATATTCCATCTTCTTTAGGTACTCAGCCCCCTTCCATTCCAAGTAGGCGAGTGTTTCTCCAACGCCCTTCGATTTCATGTGGTGGCACTCAATGCTGTAGCAGTACAAAGTTTCCAAGAAGGTACGGGCGACCACATGTGAGGAGGATATTCTTCACGAGTTGCCCAATGTAACCGCCAGCGCTCACCTTCAGTCCGGGGTCCACGAAGAAAATATTGGTCTTTCCATTCCAGGTACGTCCGGTCCATACCATCAACCCGCGCCTTGGCGACTGCGGTGAAGATGATGTCCTAGACCGTGGCGAGCTGCTCGATGTTGGAGGTCATCCAGATCGAGAGTACTGGTCTCCAGGCTATCCATGGGTGACTCCATACTAGAAGTTTCGCAGCTGTTTGGAGGTGACATGAATTCCAAAGGTCTTCTCCAGTCAGGCTGGAGATGACTTCATATTTTGGTGTACATGAAGGTGATGGGCGAGAGCCAGCTCCTGCTTATAGAGGAACATCTTGGGTATCTTCCGCCCTGGTACTCGTATCCACGTCCTCTGTCTGGGCTGCGAAAACTTTGCTGATATGTGACTCGGTCGAAGTGTCTTTTTTGCCCCCCCCCCGTATGCGTTTACTCAGAGTGCAGGATCCAGCAGGGTTGCTCTGTCTGTTACGATTCGCTCATTCCAGGGCGATATGAAATAGGTCAGCCAGTGAACAACTTCCGTGTCATTATGAACCGCGCCTAACTTCCGTGTCATTACGACGGCGAAGTCAGGCCAGCCCGGGGAAGCTGGGCTAAAGAGAAGGAGGATAGCTCGGAGTTAGCCGGGCGATCCGAATGGTATATTTATATTTATTACATGCCCGCTGGGAGCATGTTGAACCAACGTGAAACATCAGAACCAACATAACAAATCAATAATCAATTGAATGTTTAAAAAAGTAGTAATAATAGCAATTAAAGGGAAAGGCAGTGTATCGTGAGGTAGATAAAACTTCGAATAAGCAGGTAAGCAGTAGGTTAGCAATCAAAAGTGAAAATGTGAAGAGAAGAAAATGTAGAAATAAATAACAGTTAGTAATTACATCTCGTAACGCTATGTGTTGGTTACGGTATGTCGTTTTACGGTCATATTAAATAATAAAATAAATGAATTATAGGAACAGCGATCATAACTGATGTCATCTAAGAACGATTCATTGCAAAACGTGAAAGCCACAGGTTAGGCGCAACCAGTGAACCTTCAATACCAGGAACGTATTCGATGGTTACTGGTAATTTCGCGAGCTCGAAAGGAAAGGGTAGGATGAAAATAAGGTGTCATTAGCTATCCACTCTCCTTTCGACCGCTCAATTCGTCAGTCTCAGCAAAAAAGTATGTTACAGAATGTGGAAGGAGCAGCATATGCGGAGCATTCAATACCTCTGCACATGAAGGTTCTTTTTGCTCCGGTTTTTTAAGCAAACAAATCTTGAAAAATCGAAGAAGAGCGGGAATTCCAAAAATTGAAGAGTTCAAGAATTCTGAATAAAGCTTCACCCAAGAAAAAACGTACCCGTTGACAACCAAGTCGTATGGTACGGTTATTACGGTGATAACATGTTCATTTCTATAGTTGATCAATTCTGATTTGTCCTTCCGAAAGTCGACAATGACTGCCGTCTTTTTCGGCTGAGCCTTTTCAACCATCCGAACAAGTTCTTTCGGACTTATCAAAAAGCTAGACGGACGGATATCTGAAGCTGGTTAGACATATTCTTTTACTTAGAAAAAGCATCAGATTCATAAAAACTCAAAAGAGCAATGAAAATTTCATCTTAGGTGTCATACATGGCAGGATAATCGAAATGTATGCAGCAACTGTCCCTTTCAAGCACCAATTACGAACAAATTGCCGTTTCACATTGGTCGCTTCAGGTGCGGAGACTACGGCCGCATCCATAGTTTATGATACTGGAGTATCATGGTGTGTGCCAACAGGGAGAAAGATTGTGAAGGAAATGTGTAAGTACGGATGGTAAGAAATGGAGAATGCGCGAATCGGGGCGCAGCGCTTCAATGGGAGCCAAAAACGGGCGACCCTCTCAATCCCTCGCGCGCTAAGCTTGTCTGTCGGTCTTTCTATGTGTGCTGACTGGGATTACATATTCCTTTGGTTTAGAGGTTCTTGGTGGTGCAAAGCTGCGTTCATACTTTGGGCCAGCGTTCTGAGTGCAAGGCAGTGTTTCCAGTGATTGGAAATGTATAGATATCATCCAGCTTTAGGGTACGCCAGCGTTCTGAGCGTTTCCAGATGTAGCTTTGAATTTTCGTGGGCAGTACGCCAAAAACACTGACGCTGGCCCATAACGCTGCCGTACGCTAGTTCGATAGCTATACTTTCGCTCACTCGAATTGGTGACGTACGCTCAAAACGCTGAACGCAAGCAGAAGTATGAACGCAGCCTCGCGGATAGCGCATTTCCCGGAAGGCGTGAAGAGTGGGTTCAAGGTTCCACCTCGAGTCAAGACCTCGCCGAAGAAGTGCTTAAAGGCAGTTGGCACGACAAATCCGCAAGGTGAGTAGGATTAATACGCCTGGCAAGTCGGAATTCCGCGACCTCTGAGCAGGCGCTGCATAATGCCTTTTCCAAGGAAGGTACCATTATATGTAAAGCCTCA